CTTGCTCCATATGCGGCCTCCTTTGTAAATCACTAGCGGGTCTTAAATGCCACTTAAGATTATCGCACAAACTTTCATAACTGAATCAAAAAGCTGTCAGATCCTCATACGTCGAAACCGACCGGAGAGTCCATTATATATATATATATATATATATATGACCGTCACTCTTTGATTGGCTTGAAATTGGTTCTATCAGACATGAGAACGCCGGAATTGAAAAACAATTTCATAACTGTACACAAAACAATCCTCGAAATACGAATAAAGCATTGTTGAAAGGTATTCTATAAAAAATAATATAAAAGTTATTTTACCGATAACACAGAAGAACTTATTCGCAAATTTGAATGAATTAATAAAATATATTGATAGACAGAACTTGTCCATATTATGTACCAAAACATTTTTAGAGAAATATTTATCTTTTTAAACTAGACAACTTGGTCTGTGAATTATGGCGACAAGCGAGATGTCTTTTCCCCTTCCCAACCTATAAATCTCTTCATCTAAGTCTACAATCTCACCCCCCCACTCTGATACAAGTAATAATAAACCTGCTTAACGCCGATTTTACACCGATCGAAATTTAAAATTTATGTTTATTTTCGTAAAAACGATTCGCCCACTGAGGAATCAGAGATCAGGTTTTTTGGTAACAATATGATTTCCACCTGAAAATACACCGTCTACAAAAACATCTGTCAGTGAGTAATTCCCATTTCTCGGTTTATTCTTCGGTCCGTTGATGAAGGACACAGGCGTGTCCGAAAATTCCGAAATTTAAAAGCTTTATATATTCAGTACTAAAAGATTCTGTACTCATTATATATATATATATATATAATGAATACAGAATCATTATATATATATATATATATATATATATATATATATATATATATAATTATATATTATATATATATATATATATATATATAATTATATATATATATATATATATATATATGAGTATAATTATATATATATATATATATATATATATATAATGAGTACAGAACCATTAAAAATCCATCCGGTTATAAATTATTTCCTGATTTTTTTACATTCATCTTTTCACACCGGTGTATTGTTAATAAATGGAGTTAATTTATCAAGACGAAAAGCTAAAGAGAGAGGAAAAAATGGAAGAAGAAAAAAAAAGAAAAAGTGTTAATATTAAATAAGTGCTGTAACCTAAAGAAGGTTACTAAATAGAATAATCAAACGAAGGTTGGTAATGAACGATAATACTTAGGACAAGAACAACGCATATAAGATTCGCCAGCGGCGCGCAGAAGTAGGAGTCAACTGCTAGAAGTGAGTTAAGTGAATTCTACAATGAATCTCCAACTCAAGGATACCTACCAACTGCCCACGTGATCAGATGTGGCACAAGGCTGAATGTAATGCTGGATATCCGAACCCATAGGCTCGGCCAAAAATTCCTCATAGACTCCGTATAAAACGGGGCCGGATAGCTGTTTGCCGAGACGAGACTCTGCTCTTCGACATAGCCTCATCTGGGGATTCTCTCTGCTTGGAGGCAGAGAGTTTGACAAGCACAGCTGAAGATGTATCACCAACTCTAGGATATCTACCAACCGCCCTACGCGGTCAGATGTGGCACAAGGCTGAATTTAATGTTGGGTATCCGAGCCCGTAGGATCGGCCAAAAGCTCCCTGTAGACCCCGGATAAAACGGGGTCGGATAGCTGTTTCATGAAACGAGACTCTGCCCTTCGTCTGGGCATTCTCTCTGCTCGGAGGCAGAGAGCTTGACGAATCTCCAACTCTAGACCACGTACAGTATTCAGTACTGTATTTATCGTCCATAGGTATGCTACAAAAAAAACATGTGTCTTTGGAGACATCTGTGTATGAACACCATTGAAAAATTCGTAAAGTTAAGGAATCAGCACATATGATAGTCCACAAAAATCTCCTGAGCCGACCAAGCATAGAAATAAATACAATATGGGAACCAGTAATAAGGAGTGCCGGAGAAAAGCGATAATGACAAGAAAAATTGCAATATGAGCTCTGGTAAAAAAAATTAAATGATAACAGCAAAAAAACTGCAATACGAGAACTGGTAAAAAATGGTAGTTGAACACATTAGGTCTATAATACCCAGAAATTCATACACAGATATCCCCATGGCACAGTGGATAGAGGCGTTAGTTAGATCCATTGACAAGACCCAAAGAGTGCGAGTTCATGTGGTGTGTAACGCAACAATTCAACTGATGATAGCAGGTAGGCACAAAGAAAACCGGTGTCGCACGTCCAACCTTCTAACGAGCCGAAAGCTCTCTGATCTGAAACAGCAAAACGAGCCTGCTTTATACAGCCGCGGACCGACCACGATTTGCATGCGAATGACGAGACAACGAGATTTCGCGTTAACTAACCGAGACCGCCCGGCATAAAACGTGGGCGCCACCATTTTGGATCTCTTTTACTGTTGGAAGGACCAGAGTTTGCATACTGCGCAGATTCGAACGCGTTTCCGAGGTAAGCCATTTTCACAATTTTCCCCACAGTTCAATACCTGATTAAGACGGTGGAGAACTTGAAGAAGGGAATTAACAGGATTAACTGATAACTGACGTCCATTTGACATGGCATGTGGATCTAGAACAGTCTATCCCAGCGAGCGAAATAAAGGGTTCAGTTCGACATTTGACTGAAGAAGGCCGGAGCGTACAAAACGTTCTAATAAATATGGCGACAAAGATGAAGACAATAGTCCGAATAATGTAAATAGTGTACATAATACACTATTTACTAGAAATACACTATTTACAGAAATATAGACAGATACCATGCAACTAAATACCGCGCATATATATATATATATATATTAAGGCATTAAAAACTTGAAATGTAGTATTGTAGGCCATGATAAGTTTAAAATAAAACACAACAGTCGACCGGTTTCGTCCCCTCTCGTCAGAACTGTTAACGGGGAATTTAGATTATGAGGAAAAGAAAAAGTCTGTAATGGGTGACATGAATGAATGGACAGGGAAGGAAAAAAAATATATATATATATATATATATATATAAAATTATACCAACCAAGCTGCTAGAATCGCATCACAGCAAGTCCAAGCAAACAATCTCTCTGTTTGCAAAGAGCAGGCTGCCTAGACCTGATGTAAAGCGACTCCAGCACCTTAAGATGGAAAAGTGAGTGCGAACTGGCCAAGACGGAAAACCATTCCACACTGAAATCCATCGCACAAGTTGGATTCTTTATAAAATGATCCGCAATGGAAGACCCATACGTGTTACGAATTTTTCTTTGGGCGATACCATTCGTAACACGTATGGGTCTTCCATTGCGGATCATTTTATAAAGAATCCAACTTTACGGGGACGAAACCGGTCGACTGTTGTGTTTTATTTTAAACTTATCATGGCCTACAATACTACATTTCTAGTTTTTAATGCCTTAATACGCTTTTGTACCGTTTCAAACCTATTTAAATATATATATATATATATATATATATATATATATATATATATATATATAATATCACTTGGTAATTCTAAGTAGGATATAAATGCAAAGAGAGCTCAATGTAAGAACAGAGCAAATATAATAATAAATGTCCTTAGAATTTCATTTATTTATTCATTTATTTGGTCTGAAGAAATGGGCGCCTGATACCGTGAAATAAAGTATCACCAAAATGTATTCCATTATTATTATTATTATCATCATTATTATATCATATATACTTGGATATATATATATATATATATATATATATATATATATATATATATATATATAGGTAAAAATCCGTGGGTAAATAGTCCAAGTAGATCCTATTAATATAAAATATACAAGCTGATCCACAAAAGACAGCTTAATATAACTTTTATTATAGAGCATATATGTGAATTACAATTAATGAAATCCAAACAAATTACGTCATACAGATGATCATTTCGTCCATGGGAAAGTTTTTCCCTGACTTATCAACTATAAAACCATTTATAAAATTACTATATATATAAATATATATATATATATATATATATATATATATATATATATATATATCCAAGTATATAATTGGTGTATACGGAATGAATTCCAATAACCAACAATTACTATTCTTAAAAGAGTGCTCAATACAGAGTAGAGCAGATATAATTATTCATTTAAAAATTATAACATAAATATGTTATAAAATCACTACAAAAATAGCCATTTCGTTTCGTTTCGGTGTTGAAACGAAATGGCTATTTTAGTGATTTTATAACATATTTATGTTATAATTTTAAATAAATATATATATATATATATATATATATATATATATATATATATATATATATATATATATACGTTTGTAATGCAGCTTAAAGTTTTATAGTTTTACTAAGTCGTCAGGCACAGTTTTTTCACAAAGCAGCTGTAATAATTGTTTCATTCCCCAGTTCGTGCCTGACGATTTGGGAAAAATCATGAAACTTTAATTTGCCCAACAAACATAGGTATATGTATATTTATTAATATATACTTCTTAGCTCTAACTAAATTGATTTGTTTACACCTTATATTAAGTTAAGTAAATATTTATTCGCTTACCTGTGTATGCACGCTAATGCACGCATATACAGTTGCTAATATCTAATTATTTGGTTTATATCCACTCTTATATATATATATATGTGTGTGTGAAATGGAGTGGCGTGTAAGACGTTTTGGTGACAGTCATTCTGTTTAAAATAAACTGAAATGGGATCAAAACAACTGGGAAACTTCAAAACTCGCCATAGACTACAAGTCTAGCTTGTTGATTCCCTTCATGAGTGCTCTCATGACTAGACGTGTATGTCAGCTAGTATATCTCTGATATGCGCTTCGGTTGTAGATATGCAAAGAAAGCAACTGCAAATAACGGCTTTGAATCGTCACACAACAAATGCGTTCCCTGTCGCCCAAATAGAAAAACAGTCACAAAGGAAATTTTTACTCAAATGCAGACGATATTTTCTGCCATTACTGACAGAAGCGTCCATCTTGAAAATCAAAATGTCTACCATTTTAAGCAAAAATCATTACATTGATTATTGCTTTTCTCACGAAAACAAGCATTCAAAATACTTTTCCCCTAACAAATGTTTTCGATTCATCTAACACGGAATATCTCACTTGACGAATAAACGTTTTGTAAAATCCTTTACGAATTTAGATGAAGCTTCGTCTCCAAATTTTAAATTTCTGAAATATTTATGGTACAATTTGACTAGTGTTAAAACAGCAGCGTTTATTTTTCGTCCAAAATCAATATTTCCCTCCAAATTCCGTGGAGCGCGTTTGGTGCCTACCGTCTGTTTATAAGGGAAAAACTTGGAACTTGCTTTTCGGAATCGACAAACAGCTGCTACAGGAATTCAGATCTCTTCAGTCCAGAAGGAAAACGACGCGAAAGAATTTTGACAACGATCAGACGATAATTGAAACGAACAACCTAGTTTCTCCCAACCCTAAGAAGGGTCTTTGGTTGGTATGCTTGACTGTTACCACTAGAAATAGACAGCAAAACCTCTGATCGGGAGGTATTGAGGAGCGTGGAACCACCTCTTAATTGCTGTTTTTACCAGGTTCACCCTGACGCGGGGTGATAGCAACTGTTAAGGTCCCGGATTGTGGGCAGATAATTAACCCCTCAAAATGGGGTCAAACCACTATGAAAGTATAAATATAGATTTTTATAGTAAAAATAACAGCAATACATTTTTGAAAAAAATACATTTGACTCTTTACAAAAATGTGCCAACGAAGCCTGATTTACAAACTGATTTCTTACCAAGAATACATATTATATTCATACGAACCTATCCTGAAAAATGTGTTAAAAATAAAACTAAGCTAGAAAATAAAAAAACAACGAACATTCTTAATACAAAAAGCATTTATCTTTTTACTACACTTTTCTGAGAACTTTTTATGCAGTAATATAATTTTAATTGTAAAAATACGTATTTCATTTTCATTATTAATTTACATACATACTTGTGCAAATTAACAGAAGCAAGAGCTTTAGTTTCCTTTCTTTCACGATACGGTCAGTTTAAGACCCACTGGAGTGTCAGGGTGTAATCGATTTTTATTTTTTCCTCAGATTAGGTCATTTGCAGTGGTGTGCAGTAATATGAATCTATTTTCGGAGTGTATGATGAAAATTGTTTGACCTTGAAAAATATTGCATCATCCGTGATTGCATCAGATTTTTATCACGCCCAGAGACTATTGTCTTGATTGTCGATTAGTTGTCCTACGGTCATTGTCTGCGATGGAAGTTACTCCAAGGAAGCGTACGAAAATTGTAACACTGCACGAACACGCTTGGCAAGCCTTACCAGTGAGCAAATCAAAGTACTATAGATTGGTCCGGAAACTCTCCTGATTTAAATCCAATCGAGAATCTGTGGTCAATCTGCAAGGAACGACTTCATGGAATGGACATACGAAGTACTAACATATGCACTGTGTCATGTTTCGTTGGAAAAATACGAAAGAAAAAGTAAATAATAACGGAATTATTTGTTTTGTTTCAATTAATTTGCACAAGGGTGTAGGAGATCATGGCCCTCCACGTCTTCCTGCATAATTAATTTGCACAATGGGGTATATGTTATTGGCCACCATTTGGCACACAAAGCACTAAATTTGTGCAATTCTTTTTTGTGTTAAGGATAAAAATTTATTCGTCTATATTTTTGAGATGAGGTATTATGTACATTATTCGGATTATTGTCCTCATCTTTGTCGCCATATTTATTACAACATTTCGGCCGTTGTACGCTCCGTCCTTCTTCAGGTGGTTGGAATGTCGAACTGAACCCTTTATTTCGCTCCCTGGGGTGAACTACGTGCCATGTTTAATGGATGTCAGTTATCAGTTATCTCCTGTTAATTTCCCTCTGAAAGTTCTCCACTGCCTTAACCGGGTATTGAACTCACACTCTTTTGGGTCCTGTCACTGGATCTAACCAACGCCTTTATCCACTGTGCCTTGAGGACATCTGGACATGAATTTCTGGGTATTATAAACCTAATGTCTTCAGCAACCATTTTTACCAGTGCTCATATTACAATTTTGCTGTTATCATTTCATGTTTTTAGCAGGGCTCATATTGCATTTTTTGTTGTTATTATTGCTTTTCTCTGGCACTCATTATTAGTGGTTCCCATATTGTATTCATTTCTATACTTGGTCGGCTGAGATTTTTGTGGCAGAGCATATATGCTGTTTCCTTAAGTTTACGAATTTTCCAATGGTGTACCTTGTCTATACCCAGCTATGGCAGTGGAGAACTTTCGGAGGGAAATTAACAGGAGATAACTTATACCTGACATCCATTAAAAACATGGTACGTGGAACTAGAACAGTCTACCCCAGTGAGCGAAATAAAGGGTTCAGTTCGACATTCCAACCACCTGAAGAAGGCCGGAGCGTACAACAGCCTAAACGTTGTAATAAATATGGCGACAAAGATGAGGACAATAGTCCGAATAAAGTAAATCTTACTTATTATAAAACGCAGATTGTGTGTGTGTGTGTGTGTGTGTGTGTGTGTGTGTGTGTGTGTGTGTGTGTTTACATATTGATCGGATTTCCTACATTTTCAACCGATTTCAACAAAACTTCACAGGATTACGTAAAATTACCTTGCGGTGGTTCTGACAGCGCCAAAATTGGAAAAACATGTTTTTTGCACAAAATCAATTTGAAAAACACGATTAAGAGGCATCACAAGAATAAAAGGGTTCAACTCATATCGAGTTATACTTATTATAAAACCCAGGTTGTGTGTGTGTGTGTGTGTGTGTGTGTGTGTGTGTGTGTGTGTGTGTTCGTTTATATATGGGATCGGATTTCCTACATTTTCAAACGATTTCAACAAAACTTCATTTTTTTTTTTTCAGGTAGTGTTTCTATTGTCTTGTACACTTTTTTCTTTATTTTTACATTCAGAATGTTTTAAAAATTCCATTTACAAGACAATTGTTTATCATAAAATTCTTTTCAATCGGTAGACTCATAACGATTGAAAACAATGTTTTTGTTTGAATTTTGGTTTGACCAATCCGTGAAAAAAAAAACTAAAAAAAAAAAAAAAAAACTAATTAAGACATGTGTGTCCGTCAACCTTAAACAATAATCTTTGTCAATTTTATTTTTCAGTCTTTATGATGGTCGATACTTGATCTATCTCTTACTGTTACATCCCCGGGCAACGCCGGGCTCTAGTGCTAGTAGTGTATAAAATTTATTGTATCCTTTAATCTCGGCTCGTGTCGTCTTTCATTTGTTGTGTGCCGATAAATTGTTTTTTCCGAGTACTTTAGAATTGTTGCTGGATTTGTTTTGCGTCCAACTGTTTAACTCCAGAATTCACTCGTTTTGCAGACACCTCGGTGTACTGTGATGGTTAACAAGCTTGTCTCGCTAGAGCAGTTACGACTGATAAGCGAGGTCGATCCCCGTCGGCTGCGCTATAATTTCGACCTTGTGCCACGTCTAATCTAGCTTAAAAATTAATATTGGGCACCTTGAGGCGGTGTAATGGATAGCAAGCTTGTCTCGCTGGATCAATTACGACTGAGTAGTGAGTTCGATCCTCACTAGGAACCTCCTACTTTCAGCCTTGTGCCTAGCTTAGAAAATCTTTTGGGGCGCCCTGAGGCGGTGCAATTGTTAGCAACCTTGTTTCGCTCGATTAGTTTCAACTGAAAAGTGAATCTCGATCCTCACTAAGAACACAATACTTTCAGCCTTGTGCCACATCTAAGTCACCATTAGGAAATCATTTGGGATGACTTGAGGCGGTGTAATGGTTAACAAGCTTTTCTCGCTAGAACAATTACGACTGACTAGAGTGTTCGATCCTCACTGGGTGCCCCATACTTTCGGCCTTGTGCCACATCTAATCTAGCTTAGAAAATCATTTTGGGCAACTTGAGATGTTGTAATGGTTAGCAAGCTTGTCTCGCTAGAACAATTACGACTGAGTAGTGAGTTTGATCCTCACTGGGTTCCCCATACTTTCGGCCTTGTGACACATCTAATCTAGCTAAAAAAATGATTTTGGGCAACTTGAGATGGTGTAATGGTTAGCAAGCTTGTCTCGCTAGAACAATTACGACTGAGTAGTGAGTCTGATCCTCACTGGGTGCCCCATACTTTCGGCCTTGTGCCACGGCAACGATACGCTTAGAAAATCGCAACTCAAGGTGACGTCATTTACAACGGAAATTTTTACGTTACTTATTTATTTATTTATTTTGTCTTTGATTTTTTTAGAAACATTTCAATATTCGGTTTCTTATTGAAAAACGATATTAATGTTAGCTTCTTCTCTTGACCTTTGACCTTTCTTTACTATGTGTCTTATAACGTATCTATTGTTCGTTCGTTCTTATTGATTAGAACTTGTGTTCTGTTGACTCCCAAGAGGATGCTCTCCCAATCACAACAATCTTAAATTTTTTATCTCTAGGGCTAACTGTTATCTTCCCCACATATCCCCTAAACTGCCTGTTACCATCTATTTCGTATGACCCTTGTTAGACATTTTCATGACGGTCGTCCTCGAGTATAGAATCCAGAGGTTGGCAGTGAATATTTCGGAGACAGTAGGAAATCGTAGTGCAGGTTCGCAGTGGATATCGTAGCAAGCTAGCAGAGCGTAGTTCTTCCGCCTGTCCTGTTCGCCGGACAAGTTGCCTCTGGTAAAACAAAGATGGCCGCCTTTATACACGACGGATACAGTGTTGGGCGGCTTCCGATTGGTCAACCTTCCATTGGTCGACTATAAAGGGAAATAAGTCATTTTGACTCGCTCACTAGTCCTAGACGGGATAGACCCCAAAAAACCGTAACAACCCTTGGGCTTTATACATGGTGAGCATTATTGTAAAAATATTTTTCATTAGGCTCACGACCCTCTCTCGCTTTTTTAGCATAAGAAAAAGCAAGAAGCATCGATAATGTTCGTTTTGGCTCTCCATT